GGTTCTGTTTTGACTTCCATATGAAGTAGTTTATCAAATACATTATTATATGCAAACATGCAAAAGATAGTTGCATCTATATAAGTTGAATTTGAATCACCTTCAATACCTTTATTTTTACCAAGTATGGGTTGATCAAGTGGTGGTAGATTATCAACTATATTTGGTAATGGTGAAATGTTTTTTGGAAATGTTGATGCTGAACGTTCATTATCTAGTTTTTGTTTGTTAACTATATCATGTGCATTTTTCACCGACATGTAAAAGCCTTTATTTGGATCATCGAAGTATACATGATCTGTACGACATTTTGGACATAGTCCATCATATCCAGAGAGTGGTTTATCACTTTCTAGTGCATATAGTTCCTCAGTACTACAATTGACTCTTCCTTTGACTATACATTTTTGTTTATTGATACTAATTTGTGTGCCTACTAGATGCATAGAGTCTGTTTCATGATCAATGTCAGTGTTGTTGGCAGCTCCTATTAAATAAATCGTTATCAAGAAATGAAAACTAGAAGAGCAAAAATGTGAAATAACCTGGTGAAGTAGTTTTTTGAGTTGGAGGTCCATTGTCTGGTTTATAGTATGCTGGTATGCGTAAAGAAACATTGTATGATGGTAGGTCTAAAGAAACATATTTACGTTTATTTTATGTTAATTCTTCTATAACCTAGTGAACTATATTGTTGAGCTGGAGATCCATTGTGTCGTTTATAGTATGATGGTGAGCCTAAAGAAACATATATACCTTTATTTTATGTTAATGGTTCTTATCTAGTAATAAAATATACCCATTCTCGCTCTAAACCAGCTATATATATGGTGAAGAGCACATTCGAACGAATGAGGAATATTCATGTGACTTATCAAAGTAAGATCAATCAAAAACTAGTTGAATCTGCTTATGAATAATAGACTCTTACTTGTTTTATTACTCAATGAACCGAAAATACATATCTTCCTCGTTTATAAAATATAATAAAAGGTGAATGTAATATATAATGTATAATTCCATGATAAAAAAAGATTTCGGATTATAATAACACCCAATAACAAAATACACACAAGACAAAAAGTCATTTGAAATTTGAACTCGGATTACAATATCACTTTATCTTTGAATAGTTTTACTTACTATTATTATTAAGTTGTGCGTGAAGCGATGGTGTCATATCCATTGGTAAATGGGACATAGATGTACCTAAATAAAAACTGCACCTTATACAAAAACTACACATCAATATAATTGGTATTTTGCTATCGATAGACCGCTTTTCTCTTTTCTGATTATATAACATATACATGACATACTTAGTTTGTCTACTGATGTTGTAGTCTGATATGGTTGTTCTTTAAAAAGTTCTTTCAATTGATTAAATGTTGATCGTTGATTGGGTAATTTAGCCCATGTTTTAGTAATAATATTCCAATACTTTGAGCTGCAATTTTTTGGCTGAGGTAACATGTCACCATTTCGAACTTTTTGAATAACATCGTCGTTACTTTCAATATTTGTCCAAGGTATAGCACCTCGAGAATATGCTTCCCACATCAATACACCCATTGAGTATACATCAGATTGTTCCGTGTAATCATTCATGGATACATTGTTTGAAAGTATTTCTGGTGCACAATACCGGGTTGGGATAATATTTAATACTGTTTGTGCTGCAGTGATCGTTTGACTATAAATTTTACTATAGCGACTTAGTCCAAAATCTGTTACTTTTACGACAATATTTCTTGGATTTTTTTCATCAAAACGAAACACAAGTACATTACGACATGCTAAATCACCATGAACCACATTATTTAACGCTAAATAACTCATTGCATCAATAATTTGTAAAAATATCTCTAATAAAATTTCTTCTTCCAATGGGTTTTTACGTTCGGTTAAAATTTCGTAAAGACTACCTTCAGATGCATATTCTTGTAACATCATAATAGAACTTCTATTATCATCACCATCGTCACGTACTAAACCAAAAGTTCGAACGATATGCGGATGACGACTAAGGTCAACATAAAATGATGCTTCTTTATTTGCACGAGCACCTTCAATTTTTAATAAAACTACCTCTGGACGATTATTATTCGTTGGTAACCATTCTGCATGATAAATAGTTTTTCCACAAGTTTGAAAAAGTGGTCGACCTTTTTTCTTCTTCACATCTTTATCAAGTATATACTGGAAATTCTTACCGACTGATGAAGTTTCAAAATGATCAATTACTTTCTTTATAGCATAATTTGAAACTAAGTGTTCTAATGATAGTTGTTGGTTAGTAAGAGGACTTGTGCCATATTTTCGTATCCACTCTTCAATAGCTTGTCTCTCATATGTATGGCCATCTTGTGCCACAACAGGATTCCGAAATAGTTCAAGTGTAATAGGACATAATAATGCGTCGTCTGGTGTTTTCATTGTTTATTTTTTTGATAATGAGCTTTATTTGATGATGATCATATAACTGAAAAGATGATGAAAAGCCTGACGTTTTGTTCTTAAAAGATATATTTTGACGCATCAAAAAGGTTTTTCTCTGAGAAAACAGTAAAATCATGTCAGTTAATACTTACGAATCTTATTTTACTAGAACAAATTTTACGCATTAAAATGTGCACTCAATACGAGTAAATAATTTCATTACTTATCTATATGGCGGAACAAGTAATGAGTAGGTAGCTAATGTGAGTATAATATGTATACAACATTCTGCAAATAAACAGAATAGAAAACAACAATGAAGTTTCTTCGTTATTATCTCTTATTTTTTAACTGAAACTGTGTTGTTAAGTAACCTTTTGAGAATAGCACTAGAATCGCAGAGTTGTATATTCAAAAACCAGGGAAATTTCTGGAAAAAATCAGAATTCTATATAAAAATCAAGAGTTGTAAAGTTCATTCGAATACTGTTTTTTAAGATCAAATTTAGATAAAAATAAATGACTGTCATAGCCGATTAAACGCAAAGTCAAACTACAAATTGATAAACAAAAAATTATATACTGTTACTATGTATTATGAAATTACCTAGTAATCAAGACTGCTAAGCTTGTCGCTACTAAAAATCAGAGTAAATATGTAAAAAAATAGTCAAGTAATACGCAATATTTCAGATATGTATTTAGTACTGTAATTTATGGTATATATTTAAAAAATGTATATACTTATGATAATTTCACGATATACTCTAGTCTTTTTTTAAGATTAACAGTTATGTTGCTTCAAAAATAAAAGTATTTCTTACCGTGTAATGTCTCGTGAAAAATGAAGCAGTAAAATATTATATGCGTCGCCTTATCAGCTTTGTTTATCGATAAAGAGGTGAATTTATTTCTGTTGGTTGTTAAAATAATAAAAAATTTCTTTTTACTCACTTGTATTACAATGATGAAGTTGGCAAAATCCAACTAACGAACAAGGAAGAAAAAGAAAGGACGAAATCTTCTGGTGATGGAAGTAAACTGTTTTATCACATTGGTAATCAATGACCAAGTTGTGCAACTTGGAGATGTTGACATTATTCGGAAATGAAAGTGTAGGTATGGGTAAGAGGGAAAAACGGAGCCTACTGAATCCTAGGATTTAAAAAGATCCAACAGAATCCATAAGATTTGGTAGGATTTATTAGATGCCATCAGACACCGAAGGATCCAAGATCCACCTTTTCTCCAATGGATTCAGGTGACCATTATTGATGTTGAGCCTCAAGTGTTTTACGTGTTTAATTGAAGATTCTTTAGGGTGTGGGTGTGGGTGAGAGTAAATAAAGATAATAACAATACTCACACCCTCACTCTCACCCACACTCATATCCACATCCTACATATTTTTCCAATAAAAATGAACTTTTATAAAATCTAACTCTCATAGTCATTTTATTTGAGTTTTATGGAAGAACGGATGATAATCATGCAAGTATAGTCCTACAGAGATGGATGACGAAATATCATCATTTTTAGTAGAAAGTTGAAAAATCAATAAAGTAGTACTCCTGATAGGCCAGTTAAATAGAAATAATGGTTCTAAATATGTCTGATAAAGTTACCGAAAAACTCTACTAATGGTCTATGTTACTGATAAATATTGCATTGATCTTCTAAAAACTAATAGTGATCATAGATGTATACATATATTGAAAGAGTATGTTAAATAATATAACTCATGATAAATTTCAATAAGTTATCACAGTATTTCTAAATATAATTACAAAGAATGATTTTAACAGCACTGTTGTAATATTATTTATCAAATAACGCACTCATTGTATCAATGATCAACATTGAGAACATGAATACCATATAATTAACTGACCTCTATTGAAATAAAATCTATTATTTTTTTCAATGTATTTCAACAGAAATAGATCCAGTAAATAATATTCCATGGTAAAATTTACGGATTTTTATTTAACTAAGTCACTATATATTATTTTTTTAAAGATATCAAATACGTTGTTAATCAATTATAAAAGTGACTTGATCTGGCACAGAGGTACCTTTCTTTTATAATACTATTTCATGATTGAATTCAAATATTTTGATAGAAATACAAGATAAAAAAAACTTGCTAATATTTCAAGTGCACTTGCCAGATGTATACAACAGATAAAAACATCAAGAATTTTTCTCATAGATTTACATTATATATTTTTTTCATTATTAACTCTGAGAAATTTATTATTAATACTTTATCATGCGAATATTATTCGAATACAAGTCTAAAACATTTTATGAGTATGATGAAATTTCTAAGATTCAAGCATAGATAAATTGAAAATAACTGTATATCATTATGTTTTGATTTAATCTTTATTTTTCATTTAAATCGATTTTAAATAATATGCCTTACGTATCTATTTTCTCATCAAATACAACAATTCTACATATTCAATAGTTTCACTCGCACACATACACATATATCTATGTCATAATCAAAATATAATTTACATTCGTCGTTGTACAATACTGAATCCAACAAGGTACAATTCAATTGGATACTCATTACTAAATAGACGTAAATCATATATTGATAACCAGGGTGTTCGTTGCATATAATTCGCATAGATTTTATTTGATATTTGTCCATCACGAAATTGTACAGTATTTAATGATGACATTTCTGGTGTCGTTGGTGGTGATAATTCAATAATAATATTTTGATATTGATCAAGTTCAATAACATAAATAAGTCTATTTCGTTGATAAATT